TCCGCCCCATGGTGCGCACACACGTCCTTGCAGGCATGCTTGTAACCCTCCCTCCCCGCCGTTGCACCTCCTTGCACCTCAGTTTCTTGCAAAACAGGGATGATAATATTTGAGAAAGCTGTTAAAGCCGTTAAGGATCACAACATTTCTGTTGTTTTATTTGCCAGTCAGCTGGCGATTTTTTTTCCCCCACCCCCCAAGAAAATGTCCTCCGTGAAACAGGCTGAACTTTAGCGTGTTTTGATATGGAAATGTTTTGGCAACGAAGCAAAATGTCATATGTCTGTAATCACCCCCCCTCCCCTTTCCCTCGAGAGTGCGTTTTTAAGAAAAAAGACCACATGGGATTTGAAAACCTGCCCAAACGCACTAAATACCAACAGTAATGGCAACACAAAAAAAATCTTGGCGCCACAAAGAAAATCTTAACATTTTGCTTTCCATATAAAAAAATAAAAATCCTGGATCGTTGTCAGAAATACTGCTGAAAATGAAATCCTTGAGTTTCAAGATTTTGCAAGTGATGTTGCGATGCCTTTGCACAGCTCTCCCGCTTTTCCGGCGCTTCTCAGCCTCTTTGAGGTTTCTGCTGGAGCTGTATACAGTGTTTTCAGAGGTTTTTTTCTTTTTTCTTTAATATTTGGTGTAATGGGGAGACTGCTTTTAACTCTGTAACGTGGGTGTCTTCATAGCGGCCTCCTTTTTGAATTTCGGTTGTCAGATTTACACTGAGTTTAAGCGTACCATATGTCTCTGGCTCAGCCCGGGATTTCAGCTGCACGCTTAACATTAAGTGCAAAGTAATCTTGTTAAACCCAGCAGCCGTGGCTTGAAAGTTGAAGCACGCGTTTCTGCACCCTCCTGAACGACGCCTTGTCTCGCCGCCGCTTCGGGGTGACCCAAGGCAGCGCGAGAGCGGCGAGCGCGAGAGCGGCGGGTGCCGAGCGTTAAGTCAGTTCGGCGAATGGGGGGGGGACGTCGGGGAGCAGCGCAAGCCGCCGGCGGGGCTCCGGTTTGCGTTTGCTGCCGAGGCGATCGCTTTGAGGAATAGGCTGCGCTTTTTTCGCAATTACCTCAGCGTTTTTTTGCTAAATTCATGCGATAAAATGCATTAAATGTAACAGCACGGAAAATAAAAGTTCAGTTTGCAGAGAAATCCTGATTTAGTGTGGAGATAAAAACAGATGAAACAACTGGAAAAATTAAGTAGGATAAATAAATTTTGCCCGATAGATCTGAGAGAGGCGAGTCCGACAGAAGGAGAGACGGACAGAGGTGAATACTCTTTACGGGGAGAGCTGCTCGCGTGCATTCGGCTGGGCAGCAGTAAATCCAGCTAAGCGTGAACGGCTTTAGTGCGACTTTTATCCGGGAAGGAACATTTGCACAGGGAGAGAGCTGCTTGGCTGGTATTTTTTGCTGTTCCCTTTGCGGTTCTCAAAGGCATTTTGCGTCCAGAGCCGGGTCTGTCCTCCTCCAGCTGGCCTTAGCGTTAGCCTGGCTGAGATGTCGCCCACACCGGAGACAGCGGTGCCGCTTGGCAGCTCTGCTCCCGCCTGTGCAACCTGGAGAGGGGAAACTGAGTCGCGGAGCGATTAAATGGCTTGCCCAGCTATCCCTGGGGACTTATCAGCAAGGAATAATTGCTTTGCCGACTGGTGCTCGGCAGCACCTGGCCGCCCCTTTAGCTGGCCAAATAAAGAGGTTGAGTGAACGTGTTTTTCGCTTATCCTTAGTCTTCTGCTCGGGACGGGTTAAAGCGGAGGTGCCTTCGTCACGGGCGAGGTGCGGGTTGCGGCGCTGCCCGCGCTGTACCGCGGCGCTCCGCTTCTGAGCCCGCCGGTCCTAGAGCTCTTGTCGTGCGGTGGAAAGGCTGAGATGCTTTGCCGCCCCCTCTCCCACGCGCAGACGGCTGCTCGGCTTTATTCCCGGAGCGTGAGATGCGATTATCCCCCTTGTGCTACTTTGCATAGGGTGCGTGCGCTCACAGGGGCCCGTGCACAACGCTCCTTGGTGGGCACGAGGTACACTGTGCTCATTTTGGGTGAAAAATAAGAATAGTCAGGAACGGGAGAAGCAAGAAGCAGGGCGGGATATGGGGGAAGAGGTGTTGGAACGACTCCTCAGATATGCCGGGTAAAAATTAGCAGCTGCAAGTGTGCAAGAGAAAAGGTGGAGAAAAAAGGGGGTAGGGACAGATGGAGAGAAGGAGGGAGAGAAAGGAGGTGGGAGAAAAGGGAGGAGGAGATAATAGCGTAGAAAGATATTAGTTAAAAATCTCGTAGCCCCAAGCCCAGACGCCATCTGTATACAGCAGGAATCCGACAAGACACAGCTCTATATATACACCCCATCGAGGTGCGACGTACGTATCGGCCAGAGAGTTTGGCCAAGATTTTTCAGGACTGGAAATTTCGTATGCCCTTAGAGAGATGCCTTAAAGGAGCCCCACTTTCAGACAGCGTCGAGCAGCTGTCTGCGAGCAGGGAGCTCGAGATGAACAGCCAGTCGGCTCTGAGGAAGCTTGTCTTTGGTTTGCCGAGGGAAAGCTGGAGAACTTCCCCACTTCCGCCAGCGCTGGGGGGCGAACCCCCCGGAGCGGCGAGGACTGGCCCTTGGGCTACGCGTGCCCGTGTCCTCCGGTCATCCAGGGACTGCTCTCTGCTTGGACAAGCCCTACGGCTCTGTTGGAGTTTTGCTTTTCCGGGGTGAGGCATTAACCCTTTCAAGCATGAACAAGGCTGAATGAGACACTAAAGTTCATCCTGGCAAGGAAGGGGGAGGTAAAGAAGGAAAGATATTTCCCATGATATTCACCTTAAGATCTTCAGGCAGTTTTGTGGCTGCTCTGGATGAGAGGTGGTGTCCAGAAACGTGCTTGTGAGCGGGGAGGTGACACGTGGTGTCACCTCTGACTGTGTCGGGGTCCCAGTGTGGCTGGAGTTGCAAACCCTGGCACTCCAGCCAGCATGGAGGAAATCCAGCTGCGGGGACCTTCGTGGAGATGTCGGGAGTGGGGCTGCTGGGGTCTCCTGGGACCCTCCCAGAAGTGGGAGAGGTGGCCTGGGTCCCCATCCCCCTTCCTCAGCAGCTCTTTGCTGCAGTTCATCTCGAGGAAGCTGCACGAGCTGCCTTCCTCCAAGGCAGGGTATTATTCCCTGAGCTGTGCAGAGAAGGGGAAAAATCATCCGGGAAGGGCAGCGAGGCTGGAGAAGAAAATCCAGTGCCTCAACCCTGTGGTGCCTGGAGCCGGCTGACTGCTCCCCTTGCGCTTGCAGGCCAGGCGCAGGGCTGGGGGAGCCCTACTCGGCAGCCGCCGGTCTCCTGTCCCTCACTAATTACTTGCAGGCCTGTACTCTTGACATTTGCAAGCTCCTGATTAGAGCGACGAGGGAGAAATCTCCCAGGGAGATGGAGACCAAACTGCGCCGCTAATAAAAGCGGAGATTGACAATCGGACAGAAAGGGAGAGACTGGGAGGTGGAGGGACTCGTCCTTGCAGCCCTGGTTTCTTTCTGAGCCTCTGGGATGATAAGAGGAGGTCAGGGCTTGTTAACGTCCCCGTGAGGAGCAGGACATGCCACCGTCTGTGCCGAGTGCCCCCAGGGCCTGTGCCAGGCTCCGAGGCCCTCTCGGTTATGCAGTAGTCTTAGAAATGGACCTGAACCGAAGCCACAGGCACGAGCACCTGTAAGATCTCAGGTCTGCAAACTATCTCAGTGCAAAATTGTCTCCACTCTGTGTCTGGATGCAGATTTTGTAGCCGCCTGTATTTTGAATGCTTTGCCCCTTGCTCCTTTCTCCCCAAAGTCCCACCTTGCTCCCTTCGTTACATGTCAGCGCACTCACTCAGGAGATAATATTAATTAAGGCAGTGTGACCTGGCAGCTATTTCTGAAGGGGTGGCCCAGGCCTCTTCTGGAAGTGCCGGCTGCTGTTGCCTCTTCTCAGGTCCTGTGAATATGCATGCACGCATCTCCTTCACTGCCAAAAACACTCTTGCGTCCGGCATGCAAGTGGCACGGGCTCTCCTTGCAAGCCGGTATGTGCATCCCCGCTCCAGGCCTGTGGCAGAGGCTGTCTGCAGGGCCCGTCGTTTCCCAGGCGAGCGGGGGCTCATGTGGCTGCGTGCAATGCAGAGGGCCTTGAGAAGAGGCAGGGGGGAGCGGGAGAGGCTGTCCTGGCTGCCTGGATCCTGCCCCAGGGCTGCTGGGTGATTGCTCCTCATTTGGAGCATCAGCATAAAATGACTCAGCTTTTATATAGGACACCGGGGCGGGAACTGCGCTCCGGGGAAGCGTGGCAAGACGGTGGTAGGGATCGGCAGGGCCAAAAGCAGCTTGCTGATGTGCAGTTGGGGCAGCTGGACGTTACCTTCGAGCGTGCGTGTCGGGAGAGACGAGCGGAAGGTTTGGTCAGATGCTTCTCTGTCATCAGTCACACCTTGCTGCCACTTCCTAAGCACAACCTTAATCCCTAAGGCTTGCAAGGAATGAGGGAATTTGGATGCAATGAAACATTTCTTTCCTCCTCGTACCTGGGAGCCCAAAGTGGCCTCCGGGGCGAGCGTGGCTAAGGCATGTTGGCTGCAGTCTCCTGCACAGCTGTTCCAGCCTCTTTGGTAAGTCTGCAGTTAGGCAGGTTTTTGTTACATAAATATATATATATAATTCTCTTTCCAGCCCTCTTTTTTCGCCTCTCTGAACCCCCATATGCTTACCTGTGTGCGGCTCCCCGGAGCCGCCAGTGTAGCGCTCTGCCCGTGTGTCTGTCCGTTTACGCCCTGCCTGTACAGCTGTTCGTGTAGCCATGTCTCTCCGGGCTCCTTCTGAGGCAGACAGGCTTTCTTCCCTTTAAATCTCCCCTTTCCCATGTTACGCCGGCTCTGGCGTGCTTTCTGCTACGTGCGCTCTGCATCGACGGCTTCCTATCCCAAGGGGAAAGTGCCAGTTTACTACCCAGCAGGCCTTCTGCTCCCTGCAGCTTCCTCCCAGTGGAGCGCGTCCCGGTGTTGGAACAGGCGCAGCAACGCCGGGAGTCAGGCTGCCGCGCTCGGGGGGTCGGGTTTTTGCTGAATCCCTTCCCGCTGTAAGCAGACACGTTTCCTCTGTACCAGAGCAGGAGCAGACGAGGCAGGAGAGGAGATGTCCTTCCTCCTCGTCCTTCTCCCTGAGTTACTGCCCAGCGCTAACCGCCTGGTCAAGGGAAGCAGCCGACCTGAATGTTTGGGGTTAAGCAAACTTTTCAGCAGCTGAAGAACCCTCTGACAGAAAGCTCAGCCTTGCCTTTCTTGGCGCTTCTCCCGGCTCCTAGGCTCTCCTATTTATACAGGCGACAGTGAGCATCACTCTGGTGTCTTGCAGCTGGAGCTGCTGCCTGGAGCCAGCGTGGGCCTCTGCAGCGGCTGGGGCATGTCTAGGGTCGTGGTGCCCCGCTCCGCGTGCAGCGGGCCTGCTGTGCAGATAACTAGGCTTGCCAGCTCTGAAAAACCCTTGCAAAAGTCTCTTCTCCATCAGTTCTAGCAGCTGTGTTTGGATATCTGGACCAGCATAGGGGCCCAGATTAGCTATAACTCTTTCATTGGCCCTTGCACTCATCCTCTAGCTGCTGGAAGAAGGATGGATGATATGTTCAGCAGAATAGGTGGATGCCCTTTGAGGAAGGGATCCAGCCGAGCTGTGCTGGACCAGCCTGCCTTGGCTTAGGCATGATAAACCTGTACAGGACAGTGCAGGGAGACTGCAGTGTGGTGTGGGTTTTTTTGTGTAGGCAGCAGAGACGGACAGATGTGTCTAAGTGGTCATCAAGGTCTTGGAGCCCCCATTTGCTCTTTGAGTAGGTAATGGAGGTCTTTGCATGTGTGTGGAGGGGGATCTCAGAACAAGGAGTCTGATGATCTCGGAGACCGTCCTGTTGCGAGCAGTGAGGTGGGAAGCCCTTGGGCTTCCTAGTGTGATGATCTTGGTGCTGGGGCAGAGCGGGGACAGGGCAGGCAGTTCCTCTGGAGGTCCCTCCCGACTGCTGCAATCCTGCCTGGCAAACTCCTGGTTTCTGACCGGTGCTGCCTGCAGACTCCAGGTGTGGGTGACCCCCCC